TCATCGCGTAACATTATTTTTTGCATCAACATTTTGTAAAATGGACAATTTCTGAGTATATGATTGATATTTATGTATATATAGTGTACAAATATGAGAAAGTAGACATAGACCCCCGAACTCAATACATATAAAAATATAGATACAAAATTGACACACATAGGCATGGTCTCTCACCATGTGGTTTAAACATGGGCTTGGCCCCTGGTGAAAAACTAATATGTCTCTCTTTAAGGGACATGATATCTATTTGACCTTACGACTATCTTGGACAAAGTATAATTGTTATTTAGGGTTCTTAAGAGTATAATGTAAGGTATTTAATTCGTTTATACTTAAGAGTTATGACCTTAGCACCGTAATCGCACTCATGCGTTAGATGGGAACTAGACCGGTTCTGCCTTTCATGGAGTTTGTCCTTACATGGAAATGAGTGCACATCAATGTTAATGCTTACATTAATATACTTGGTTGCTCATATGGTCTAATACTGATTAACTATTTTAATGTTGTTATTTTATAATTATACATTTTGTTATTGTCATGAACATGAAACCCATCATTTTTATCAGAGCCTCCCAACTTTATAATAACTGCATATTAATTTGGAAAATATCTCATGTCGAAGGATATAGATTCAATTCATTTCAAGATACACCTAATGATGTCGATCCACGAAATGAAAATTTGAGGTTGTGTAAACCCAACATTCACCATCTGTAAATACATATGAAGTTGACTCTTTGTAAGATGAGTATTCATCCCTATGAATATTATCAATATTAACATCAATTTTCATTCATGACTACTCGCATATCATAACAAATAATCATTCATGGATTAAACATATTAATAATATCGTTCATGAAAATATTGTATCAAAAATATATTAATTCATAATTTAAACATCACTAATTGTGATGTTCAAACATCTAAATATTGAAATATTAACAATGTAAACGAGCTACTAGCATAACAAAGTATAAGACATGTAATGTTAGGGGAATATTAGTAGGGTCATGGTGGATAACTGGATTCCTTATGGATCTTGTAAGGTCACTTTCTGAACTGATATTTTTACCTTATATCCGGGTTACAAAAAAGTCAGTTTACGATAATCTAAAATGACACTCACAAATCTAGATACAAAAATGTAAGCCAAATTGCTAGAGAGTTTAGAGTTTGTTCTAAAATGAAAGAGAGTTAAGAAAGGTTTTTCTCTTGACGGCAGATCAGTTGCATTTATACTTTGACATATTAAGATTTCCGTCTTCTAAAATAATTAAACAAAGGGAACTGATTCGTACACAACACTTTTTTTCCATACACAACAATTTGTGCTTTAAAGTGTTGTATTGTACAACTTTATAATGCATAAATTGTTGTGTACGGCAAAAAACTGTTGTGTACGAATCACTTCCCTTAAACAAATCACAAACTAATGGCATAATCAATAGTTTCCAAAACTATCGAGATTTGTCAATCTTACTATAACTGCCCACTAGAATTAAGATTTCCCACTATTAAACTAATTTAAATTTCCAAAGACCTTTTAAAGCATTGCCCCTCGACCCTGCCCACTGACCGGTTATCGGGGTTACCGTCAGGGGCTCTGCCCCTTGGACCCTACTAGGGACATCGCCCTTATGACCATGCAATGGGGCGCGGCCTGTTGACCCCTATCATTCTAATGCAGCGACTTATAATTCGATCTTATATATACATACACTCCTCATTCACCAAACATATAATATAGAGTACAAATGATAAGCTCTTAGTGTCATTTTCGTAAATTAGCCTTGGAGGAGTATGCCATGCGTACGCGTATACGCTAAGCGTACTAGAGCGTGCCCTAGTACGCTGGGTGTACATCTCGTATGCGGGGCGTACTTGCCAGAGATGGAAACCCTAATTTTTGGGGTTTAGCTCATATTTAAACCCTATTATATCCTCATTTCCTCTCACTTTATCAACCTCCATCCTCTTAGAACGTTTTTGCAACCCTAATTCACCTTGCTATTCCAAGCTTAAGAGAGTGTGTGTTTGTGCCTTGAATAAGAAGGAAGGAAGTAGATCTCATCTTGGAGGAGTAAAGCACGTTGGATATGGGATTTCTACCTCATTTGCAACCTTTTGAAGGTATAAAGCTTGTAACTTTATCCCTCCATCATATCGATCTAGAAGTGGATGTTTTAATGATGCTTTTTGGTCTCAAAATGTTAGATCTTGAGCATGGCATGTTCTTGACCCATTAAGCTGTCCTTTCAGACTTTGGGAGGGGTCTTAAAATGGAATCCCAATGGTTGGTTTTGTCCCATGCATATTATGGAGAGTCTTAAAGCATTTAGATGTTGTGTTTTTATGGATTAAGCACTTATTGAGCATGCAAGGTCATAAAGTTGCAAACTTTATGACTCCTAATGACATTTTGACCTTGGATTTGCAATCGGATGTATTAAGTCGTTATATTAAGCACTTTATAGGAAGAAAATGAAGTATGGAGTTACGCCCTGCGTACCTGGGAGTACGCCCAACGTACGCAGTCAACAACCTCAATCTGGTCAATGGAGGAATACGCCCCGCGTACCTCCAAAATACGCCCCATGTACGCTCACAGGGTTAACTCGGCTGAGTTGACTCAGCTGGGTTGACTCAGTTGACTTGTGGATTTTTGACTAGTTTGACCTTGTACTTTGACTTCTGTTGACCATGTTGACTTTTGACCAAATTTGACCTTTAGGTCAAACTTGAGGGTTTGGATTGTTGATTGGGATTTTATATGGTTCTGATGTTAGTGGATCTGCGAGAGCGAGCAGTGTAGTAGGGATTAGATCGTGGTATTCCCGAGTTTCTTCATTTCATGTGAGTTTCGCCTCATTGTACTGTAGGTTGAAGGCAACAATGTCGTCCCATTAGTTTTAGTTGTATATTAGTAGAGGAATGTCATAGGGACTGCATATAGTCATGTAGGATAGACTGAGGACTTTTGATCTAGGCTCTCTTAACTGTTCCTTGTTTGGTTGTGGTTTGTAACAACATGTTGTTTTCAAGTCAATAAAATTCAAACCCTTTTAAATAAAATTACGAATTTTATTTATTTCGTTAAGTTCATAAAGGTTAGAATATGATTTAAATTATATAAATGATGTTTTATATAAGTATTTTTATTTTATAGGAATAAAATGCACTTAAAAATCAAAACTTTTCCCTTTGGAACCGAGAACCTTTGCACCGAAAACCCTCCTCGCACCGAAAACCTTCGGACCGCAAACCCCCACCGAAACAGATTTCGGCTGAAAACTCCCCTCCGACCGAGAACTCTCTCGATATATATAAAATTTCACTCGAAATAATGAGTCATTTCTCATTTTTCCAACCAAAACACTCATTTTGCTCTCAAGTGTCATACAAGAACCTTCAGCAAAATCCTTCAAATCTTCATAATATTCACCAAGAACAATCTTCAAATCTTTAAGCCTGACCGAAAACAACTTGTACCGGGAACTCACTCAGACCGAGAACCCTTTTAGACCGGGAACTTAGTTCACGGTTGAGGTTTTAAGACCGAAATCAAGGAATTTCGGTGAGGGATAGACCGAAAACACTTATCATCACTCCAAATAATTCTCAGTAATTTTTGTAAGTATTCCTTACATAAATTAAGTGTTGTCTAACACTATAATTAATTATTTCACTAATTTAAATATGATTGCTTTTAAAATATTATTAGGATATTATTATTTCCACGTACGCTAGCCCGAGGATCGTCACTATAATTTTGCTATCCAAACGTAAACACGAACTAGAGGCGAGTTTATACCCCTACGTTTTCACTATTTTTCAATGTTTTTAAGGGGAATACAAGTAAAACACAAGGACCCTTGTGTTAATATTCAAACAATTTCAAATTATTTGCAATTGATTCAAACTGATTTATCGCTACATTTTATATATATATATATATATATATATATATATATATATATATATATATATATATATATAACCCGTTTGTAACATGTCGAGCAAAAGGATATTTTTCACAAATCTCTTACTACCACTTTATACACACAATTAAATTGCAAAGGTTTTCAGTAAATTACAGAGCATACATTTAAACTATAATTGGTATAGTTTGTGAACCACTACGCTATTTTACTAAGTTCAATACACAAAACAAGAACATACATTTAAACTACAGAAGGTATAGTTTCAGAAACACTACACTGTTTTACAAGTTCAAGAACATTATTCAGAAACAAGAATATAAACTATAATGGGTATAGTTTATGGAACACTACTCTATTTCACTGATTCAAGGATACACTACCAAGTAATTATTTAAGTATAATTATTTTATATTACTAAGTACACTACTATGATGTGATACATACAGTCTCAAGTACAAGACAACACTATAACACTACATGTAAACTAGTTAATACATGGTTGTGAGGCACTAATTCAATTATACCCATCAGGGTACAGGTCCAAGTCCTATAAATTATAACCAGAATCTCCTGGAGGGAGAGCGTGAATTTGTGTATATATCTATACGGGACTGACAATCTCGCACCAAAATTGCTAGCTACAGTTACGCCGATAGGCCTGGGGTGACAAATGTCATAACATTCTAACGCCTGAAGAACATCGTAAAGGCCACTGGTCAGTTTAGCATGGTTATATGAAACTCACAATAGTATTAAGTAAAACATTTATTTACGTGATTAACACTACTTCAAAGGTTTTGTTTTAAATAATAAAACTACAATACACTATTTTACATTACAGTTGGTGGATTCCAGGCACTCATACAAGAAGGTTTTCATAAAAACACTACTTTTCTAGTACAAAGTACACTAATACAACATACAATTTCAAGAAACATTCATGATATAGTTTTATTTATTAATAAGACTACAGATTACTACTTCAGAATACACATTACAAGAAAAACGCGATTTTGCTATGGAAAGTCACTATGGAACGTATACTTGTTGTTAATCTCCAATGGATCGTGCTATGGAATATCGTTCCATAGCAATGTTGCTACCACATTGTCTACGTAGTTTATTTCTGGTAGCGAGAATGAGACTTGCTAGGGAAAATGCTACCAACTCCATATCCATTGGTATTATGCTACCGATAGTTCTATGGAACAAAAATTCTTAGCAATTTTCCAACGATATTTGTTACGAAATCAGTTTTCGTTGTACTGCTGCTATGGAATTAATTATCGTGGTTACTATGCAACGGAGTTTGTGACGGAAACCAACTCCATAATTGATTTGCTATGTAAGTATCATTCGTAGGTATTTTGCTAGGGAATTCTGCTATGGAATATGATTTCATTTGTTTGTTTTTCTATGGAACAAAACGCGTAGCTAATTTGTGACGACATTTGTTGGGATGTTGCATGCTTAATTAATTTTCTTATTCTATGGATGAATTATTATTATGATCAATGGAATTTGTAAGATATTGTTTGAATGAAATGTTTTTGAATTGGTAATATGTAGCATAAATAATGGCTAAAAATGTAAAAATGGATTATAAAAGTAGATATTGTTGGCAAGCGGACTCAAACTTAAGCTTATGCTAGAAAAAGGGCGCGGTTAGGCCAGTTGTGCTAATCAAGTTGTGTATAATTTCTTGAAAAACATAGTATATGATGACTAATTAACCATATAATTTTATTAGAACTCGGGCCCTATTTTTTCCGGGGCCTGTGTGATTGCACCTCTTGCACACCCTTAAAATCGAGCATGTTAAAGTATATAATCTATGTAGATTATTTTCCTTAAAAATGAATTCATTACAAACTTATTTTTAAGTCCATTAACTATACTTCATCACAAAATAACATGGGTTTTACGTATACTTCATCCTACTCAAACCAGATAGTAAGCAAAAATGACTAAACTTCCCTTTAAACAGAATGATGTAAACATAAAACCAAAATAAAATTATAGTAGTATACAACTTCGTATACAATACAGTATGAACACTAATATTCAATGTCCAATCTATTATCAACCATTTATATTTTTAAGAAGTACACAAAACCTACCATACTCTACATACCAACGAAAAACCATGCAATATCTTTGTCGATCCTCATCCTCTTCATAACCTATTGCAAATTCACCTTTAACAGAATGATGTGGGTCTTTACATTGGAATGTGATGTTATTCGTTGTAAGTCTATGAACAACATCAACAGCGCGCAACAATGCTTTGGCACTATCAACAACACTCATGTACTCCCCATCACCCGGAACCGCCCAGCCAAAATAGACATCAAGTAATTGTAAACCTACACATTAAAATATCCACCAATTAATCTAATGTATCATTTTCTATACAACAGTAAATATTATACAACACAACACAACTAAATAGTAACCCCAAACTAAAAACATGCCTTAATTAACTATATATATAATTTAATTTACATATATACCGTATATACATAACTTCATCACATTGATGATGCCCTCTTGAAATGTAGATCATTCCAAGCAAATAAATTGCCTCATGATGATCTTCATCTGCTGCTTGTCTCAACAAAGTCAATTCTAAATCAAAATTGTCATAATAAAAGCACTCATCCTGTTGACAGAATAACAATATCAATATATAACATCAATGACATTAAATATTAATAAATGGTATAGATTACATATAATTACTGAAACTAGACATACAATTCCTTGTCTGAACATGGCTTCAATGTTATTATGCAATGCACATATGCGTATAAGTAAATCAGCTTTCAGATTTTTGGGACCCATTCCTTCAAACATGTCAATGCATTTTGTTCTGTACACTTGAGGATCACCCCCCGCTTCATACATATTCTTTGAACTTCAAAAATTTAAATACGTAATAAATAACAAATAAATAAAGTTGTATTTCATCAAATATACATTCATTAGTTGATGTTTATTGAGAATTACCAAAGTCTTGCAGAGACGATGTCTTTCGCAGATTTTGCCCTAATACTACATATATCCAACTCAAAATCTCTAGTTGGAGATCATCTAACGAACGACGACTTCTAGTATTCGACATTCTAACTACAAAATACACATTGGAGTAGTTGATTTCATTTTTTTTTTCAAATTAAGCGTAACTATGAAAAACAGTGTAACAGGGTATGGAAAAAAAAAACTTACTTTATGATGATCTGGTCGCGAGCAGTACATGAGTCTCTATTATCGGAGAAAATCATTTTTAAGAACGATTATCCTTCGACGATTTGGGGGATTTAGTGTTTGTATGCAGATTTATCGTCCGAAAAAGTTGAAATGTTTTGAATGGTTGAAATACTGAAATGCCACCGTGACATCAGAGGTATGATGACGCCTTAACAATTTAGAGTGCAAAAAGATCAAATTGTCCTTGAAATCATTCCAAATATGTGAATATTAAGGGTATTTGTGTCAAAACACATTATTCAAATATTATAACCTTTTATAGTTAGGTAACAGTGGACTTTTGATTGTTGAAATGATAAAGACAAAAATGACATATATATCATAATCCATAATGTAATACATTTATATTAACATTTCACCAAATTACTAGTATATATTCATGTGTGTGTGTGTATATATATATATATATATATATATATATATATATATTAAAAGTGGAACAAGATTTTAACAATAAATTTTTTTACTTTAGATTTTAGACATTATAGTTTTCTTTTGTTGCCACTTTTAGTCCCTATGTTTATAATAACTTTTTTTACTTTGATTTTAGCCACACTGCTTTTCCTTTATTGCCACTTTTAGTCCCTATGTTTATGCCTTTACAATTTTACCCCATACAAAGCATGAGTTCTCCACTAGTTGGTGTTAAACCAAATTACCAAATCCAAAATAAAATACATGTATGTTTATTCCTTTACAGTTGTATTTTATATGTATTTAATATTAGGAAAGAACACACATTTGCTACATACAACTATAATCACAATACAATATAAACACTAATATTGAAAGTCCAAAACACATTATTCAAACATCATTCCAAACTTTTACTCTTTTAGTCCCTTATTAATAACACAACATATTTACTAATCAAATAACAACATCAATTAATTACTTATCAAGTAAATTACTATATATTCATATATTAAAACAAAAGAATATACATAGAATAAATTGTCATAATATGAAAGTACATATCAACAAACTACTCATAAATTATACCAAACTCCCTAGAAAACCTAACGAAACAAGAATCCCACAAACAACTTTCACACCTAAACACCCATTTGTATCCATTCACAAAAGCGTCTGACACGCTAATTACAGATTTATGCATTGCACAAGTTCTATGGAAGCCATGGAAGTGTACATGTTTCCTCCCCTCCCTATTTAAGTTGAGATGAACCTTAGAACAAGTTGCTCTAAGATTCCACTTACATTTTGCTCTGCAGTAAGCATTATTGAACATGCCCAAAGCTTCCTGCTTCCTATGTCTCCCTTCAGCCATTAGCATCATTCCCAGAACAAATGTTGAATCCAAATGTCCCAATGCAGATGCTTCTTCAAGCATCGTTTTCCCTTCATGTTCAGCTTCTAAGAAAAATAACATTATCTAAAAAAACATTAAACACATAATTTCTAGTTAAAGTTATGCAAAACAAGAAACAAATTAATTAATACTATGCATATATATATATATATATATATATATATATATATATATATATAACAACGTACCAATCCATTCCTGAACAGAATATTTGGGTTTCTCATCTTTATGCATTTGTTGACAACTGCATGTTTCTGGTCAGACCAACCACAGAATCATAATCCATCTAACTCCATGTGGTTATATACTTCATCCGTTTTTCTTACCTCGTTGAAGAATCTGAAACTGCAAACGAAACACAATATTCACTCCATAATGTAAAGACAACTCAAATACACTTGTGAAATAGAACGATCGAAGAAAAAACTTACACACTCTTCATCCTGAAAGCGTCAATTGCTAAATTTTTTCCCAAGTCGACTGTTATTTTCTCCATCACTTCCAATGGAATGTCTGTTAGCGATTTCATTTGATTTCTTGATTGCATCTTCGAAGAAGTACTAGCTTCCATAATAATAAACCTTCACTAAGATAACGATTTTGCGAAAATGATTTTAGGGTTTTTTGACTGTCAGAATTTTGAAATTGGGGTTGTTTGTAAGTGACTAAAATAAGATTGAAGAACTGAAACAACGTGTTTCGTTGGAAAACATTATGGTGCCTAGAAAATGTTCTATTTTAAAATGACCAAATTGTCCTCATACATACAATAACTCATATTTAATTAGTAAGGGTAGTTTTGTCAAAAGTTATAATTAAAAGAAAAATCAATTTCTATTTTAATACACAACCGACACAAATGATATATGTTGACCAATGACCCATATGTCATCCATGGATGCCATAAACAACTACCATGTTATGAGACAATTGGGTATCCAGAGTGGTGAGACTTCTCAAAAGGGCCTCAAAAGAAGATAGGCCAAGCAAAAGCCGCCATCTCCACAAAAGATGAATCGGCTCCCGTTGCTGCACATGTTGAAAAAGTGAACGAATCTGGTATGTCTGAAACTAATCATACTATAGATGGTAGCTAGATTATTGACACAGGAGTGACTGATCTTATGACAAATGATCCATGTAAACTCGTATCTATTTGTAATCCTAAACACTCTAAAGTCCTCACTAACAATAGAGGATTTGCCCATGTTACCTGTGAAGGACTAGTATACATATCAGACTCCATGAATCTTGATAAAGTTCTTATTATTCCTTCGTTATCTTCTAATATGTTTTGCATATCACAAAGTACAAAAATCTAAATTGTTTCGCAACCTTCTGGCCTGATGAATGTATGTTCCAGGATATCAAGACTCAGAAGATTCTTAGCTATGATACTAGAAGGGGAAAGTTGTGACAACTGTCAAATTTCGGTCAAGACAAAGTCAACCGAAGTCAACAAGTCAAACCGTTTGACTCAATTTGCCCTTGGGTACTAGAATTTACATTATGAAACTTCTACATAACTCTCTATTCTAATGAGGAATCATAAAGCAAAAAGTGCGAACACCTAGATCTCCTTAACCTAGAATTGTGGTACGTGGCGAGCCAAACCGATAAAACAATGTTGCATACTCATCGGGAGTGTGTAAGATCCTTAAACAAGGCTTAACAGGGTTTACGAACCATGCATTGCGATGCCGGACACTCACAATTATGACACATGGAACCTCTCTCAATCGTTTTCACTCTATCTCTCTCTATGTCAAATCTCTCCCAAATCTCTCCAAGTATGTGAAATCTCTCTCAAATATCTCTATGTATTATAAATCTCTCCAAGAATGTTAAATCTCTCCCAAATCCCTCTAAGTATGTGAAATCTCTCTCAAATATCTCTCTGTATGAGAAATCTCTCCAAGAATGTCAAATCTCTCCCAAATCTCTCCAAGTATGTGAAATCTCTCTCAAATATCTCTCTGTATGAGAAATCTCTCCAAGAATGTCAAATCTCTCCCAAATCTCTCCAAGTATGTGAAAACTCTCGCAAATATCTCTGTGTATGAGAAATCTCTCCAAGAATGTCAAATCTCTCCCAAATCTCTCCAAGTGTGAGAAATCTCTCCCAAATCTCTCTCAAAAGTTTCCCGTAACTTTTTAGAATCATTCGGGTCATTCCGGCCTTTAACCGGGTCAAAAACGGCTTAAAACGGGGTAAAAACGAGAAAACGGGACCTTAGGAACCGAAACCCTTCTCAAGGAGCCGAAGCTCCTTAAGGCCGAAAGCACCTTGGACAGACTGAGCCTCTGTTGGCCGAAACCGGAGGACCGAATCACTATAGCTGAGACCGAGCCTCGGTCTCTGTTGCTTCTCACTCTCTGTCACCTCCTCTGTTCGCTTCTCGTACCTTCTGTCGCTTCTCGCACGTTCGGTCGCTTCTTCTCCGCCTCTCTGTCTCTACTCCGCCTCTCTGTCTCTATTCCACCTCTCTTCCCCTCTCGGTCTCTGCTCTCTCTTCTCTCCTCTCTGTCTCTTCTCGCGCCTCTCTGTCTCTTCCCTCCTCTCGGTCTCTGCTCCCTCTCTTCTCTTCTCCTCTCTCGGTTCCCTCTCTCTCCTTTCTCCCCTCTCGGTTCCTACTCTCCCACTTCTTCCCTCTCGGTTTCTACCCTCCCTCCTCTCGGTTTCAGCATCAGAAGGCCGAACCTCAGCCAGATTTCGGAAATTTGTCACTTTTAGCCCATTTTTGATATTTTTAACATTTTAAGCCCGTTTTTCGTGATTTTAAAGCGGGATTTTCTCAAGAAATTATATTTTAACATAATAAACTCTAAATATTCATAATTTAAACATATTTTGATGAAAATCATTATTTAAATAATAAAAATCAAATGGTGAATTATTAAAGGTGGAGTGTTGACTTTGCCTTATCCAATGTCACAAGCAACCACCCCACACCCACTCTTTGACTAACCACACCTCCCCACCTTACCTAAGTCACTTCAATGTCCCTTACACTCAAATTACACTCATTCCCACGTTTTTAGAGCTGGAACAAACATCCTCTCTCCTCATTTCTCTCATTTTCTGTCATTTCACTAAGTATCAAACACCACTTTTCTCTCAAACTTTTTCTCCACCAAACTCGAGATTCAAGGCTGATTATCAAGTGTTCTTCCACATTTGGTAAGCATAATCCATTCTCCTTATGATTATCTCACTTATTTCCACTCAAATCATGGATATCTTACACAAACTCCATCATATTTGTGTTAGAGCTTCGAATCTTCAAGTGATTCTTCAAGTGTTCTTGGCTTGAACACTTCTCTTCTTCAACACTTATCTACTGAAATCACTCAAGGTGAGTTCATACCCCTACATTTTCATGTTTTCTCAAGTTTTCAGGGGGGGGGGGATACAAGTTAAAACACTAAGAACATAACTAAAATTTTCTAACAGCCTTCATCAGAAAAGTTCAACTCCACTCACGGACTATTTTGGGCATCTTAAACATTTTTGTTTTCAAAATTGTACAAGGTGCAAATAGTTCAAGTTTTTAGCTTTAAAATGACTACTTGCACATCTCCATACGATTTTTCTACAATTTATGGTGATTTTTACAAAACTGCCTATCATTTCAAACAACAATCCGGACCAGTCTGTGATTATGGACTTTTTCACCCAAGTTGGAGGTCATTAAAAATCGTGATAAAAATTATGAATAAACTAGACACATTTTTTGAACTTTCAGAATTTACGGATCTAGTTTTCGACTTCGTATGATTTTTCTATGATTTTTCCAAAACAGGGCAGAATGACTAAAGTTAGCCAACAGTATGTAAATATCATAACACTTTGTATTATGTTGAGCAAAGTGTATAATCATAAGTTCTAATTATTGAATGTGTTTCCTTGTTAGTTTATCATCATGAACTGAAACTAAGCCATTCATAATAAATATTATTCATTCATTTTAGAACACGTATATTAAACTATAAAAAGTATAGTTTGATAAATTCATAACACTAATACATTTCCATAAAAGAGTTCATACATATTACATACATTTTAGATAAATTATAATAGGTATAGTTTATGATACATCACTCAACACACTCGTACAAAACGGGTACATTCATACAAGAAAGATTTATATTCACACACATTTCACGTAAACTTGTTAACCTATATTGTGAGACTCTCTCTCTCTCTCTCTCTCTCTCTCTCTCTCTCTCCCCGTACGTCCGAGTGCGGGATATAATTCCTGGTAGTTATAATCAGAATCTCCTTCAGGGAGAACGTGATACTTGTATATAGATCTATATTGGGTTTGACACCCCACACCTTGCTGCTAGCTACAGTGGGACCTGCAAGTCTACGGGTGACAAATGTCATTTTAGTTTTCGCGACGCCTGAGAACGTCGTGGCAGGTTCACATAGTCATAGTATGATTATAGCGACTCACATAGGGATATAACAATCCATAAGTTTACGGGATTTTATTTTTAAAACCTAAATGAGTTTTATATTGATTTAAAATCACTTTTTATCTCTATGAGTACAGATATTACTGTACACTTTTGGTTTTGGTAGTTACGACTACACATCATTTGAAACCACATTTATACTTTTAAGTATGGTCAATACTTGTTATTTCTCGGTCCTCTAATTTAGGACTACATATATATAAAGTATTAATAAACATGATAACATACAGAAATTTCATTTAATTCAAACGCGTCCATATCCATTTAAGCACATAACATTTTCTATTAATAAGAAAGGTTAATTATACATTTTGGTCTTCAGTCATAAGACTACATTACACAAATTTTAAAGAAAATATCGGATTTTCTGGATACATATTCTAACGCTTTTACAAGGAAAACGATTTACTTTTCTAACGAAATCTCTTATGAACTCACCAACCTTTGTCTTGACACTTTTCAAAACTACTTGTATTCTCAGGAATTCAGTGAAAACAGGAAATCAACAACGTTTTGAGGATGGGACGATAAATCGTCAAACAGTTCATTTTGTATCATAATGTAATTGATGTGAATCATGTAAACATGCGCTTTGATGTAACGTTTTCAATTATATTTGTGTTGGTTGTATTTACTTTGAGCACTATTATACTCATTGTTGTGATACTCTACATGAAGTCCTCCACCCCCGGACGTTTCCGCCATCCTTGGTTTGGGGGTGTGACAAAAGTTGTATTATCTCGAAGATCAAAAGCATGGTGAAGATCTTAACATAGGGATAGCTCAAGAAAATAAAACGATGACATGGATGTGGCATTGTAGATTAGGACATTTATCTTTTAATTACCTTCGAAAATTAAAACCAAGCTTGTTTACTAGGAAAAATGATGGTTTCAAATGTGCTATTTGTGAAATGGCAAAAAGTCATAAAACTTCATATTATCCAAGTAATAATAAAAGTGTGATTCCTTTTATGACTATTCACTCTGATGTGTAGGGCCCAACTCGAATCTCTACATATAATGGTGCTCGGTATTTTGTAACCTTTATTGATGAATGTACCCTTATAATATGGATTACCCTTCCCAAGCACAAGGGATAAGTATGCATTGTATTCCAATAACTATATTGAACGGTTAAAGCGCAATACAAGTGTGATATCCAGGTTCTTTAGTTTGATAATGGAACCAAGTATGTCGATCAAGAGATGGAAAAATTCTACAAAGACAATTCAATAAGGCACCAAACGTCGTGTATTGGAACTCCCCAACAAAACAGATTAGTAGAGAGGATAAATAGACAAATGATGGAGATTGTTTTGTGTATCATTGTTGGACATGAAATCCCATGCATATATTGGGGAGAGGCAATTCGATCCACGACTTACCTCATAAACAAAATCCCATCTAGAGTAACTGAATTTAAAACACCTATCCAAAAGCTTCATGAACTCGTAGCAGTCCCACCATGCATCAACCTGGAGCCAAGGGTGTTTGGTTGCACAACATATGTACATCAAAATCTTGGAAAACTTGACCCTCAAGCTGTCAAGTGTGTCTTTCTTGGGTACGTAGATTTCAAAAAGGGTTACTGGTGCTACGACCCCACAGAAAAAAAAGATGTACATTACCAGAGATATTGTGTTTCATGAGAATATTTCTTTTCTTGGAAATGAATGCTCTCTTCAAGGGGAGAAATAATTTATTTTTGAGGAAGAGAACACACATCAATAGAATGAACAAGGATATCAAGAAGACGAAAACCTAAACTTTCTAGTGAATGAATATGACAATGATGAAACTGTAGAAGAAGGAATAAATAAATGATAATGGAGAAGATGGGATAGATATGGAAGCTACTGTTGAAGAACAAGATGATATGACTTCCCCAACTGTCACCATTACCAAAAACATCCATAAATCTGATGAGGTTGATTCTTTTTTGCATCTTAATGCTCATAACGTCTCTCCTAAACCTACTTCCAGGTGTCCTGTAAGGCAAAATCGTGGTCTCCTCAAAAGCAATACCATCCCAGTCTGAAAGCAAAGGCAAATTACCTAATAAAATATTACGTATCATCTCACCAGCTTGCTAAATCTCAAGCCCTTCTGATTGAACAATTGTCATCCGTGTCCATTCCGAATAACGTCCACAAAGCACTTTTGGACCAAAAACGGAAGAAAGCTATGAATGATGAAATGAAGGCCTTATAGAAGAATCGTACTTGGGAATTGGTGACTCTTCCTCCCGGAAAGAAACTTTTGGGATGCAGGTGGATATACACGGTTAAACTTAACTTGGATGGGAACTTCAACATGTATAAAGCGAGACTTGTAGCTAAAGGATACACGCACAAATATGGAATCGATTATGGAGATACGTTTACTCCAGTAGCAAAAATAAATACCATTGGTATCCTTAGAAGTCTATAACAACGATTCAAGATTGGTCGTTAAGATAGTTTGATGTGAAAAATGCCTTCCTAAATGACCATATTGAAGATGAGGTATACATGGAACCTCCTCTCGAGATGAATGTCAAAGACAAAGTGTGTAAACTAAAAAGAGCATTATATGGGTTGAAACAATCTCCTCGAGCATAGTTTGGAAGGTTTTCGAATTTCATGAAGAATATTGGATACATACAAAGTGATGTCGATCACACCCTCTTTGTTAAGAGACAAAAGAAGAACATAACAACATTGATTGTATATGTAGACGATATGGTAATCACATGCAATGATCAAAAGGAAATAACGAGTCTTTATAAAGTTCTAGCAGCTGAATTCGAACTAAAGGATCTTGAGGAATTGAAATACTTCTTGGGTATAGAACTTGAAAGATCAAAACGAGGCATATAAAGAAATATATTAACGACTACCGACCAATCGATACCGACCAATCGATACACCGATTGAAAGATCAAAACGAGGCATATAAAGCGAGACTGGCAGAAACATGTACGCTTGACTACCGACCAATCGATACACCGATTGAAGTCAATCATGGGTTAATGATTCATTCGGATCAAGTACCGACAAATAAAGAAATATATTAACGACTTTTTGGGAAGTTGATTTACTTGTCTCACACGAGACTCGACATAACATATGTTGTTAGCGTGATGAGTCAGTTATGCATGCTCCTAGTGCAGACCATATGGAAACAATGTACCAAATCCTGAGATACCTGAAGTCCTATCTCGTAAAAGGATTGTACTTCGCAAAGAATCAAAGTAGAGGGGTGAGCGGATATACGGATGCAGATTGGCCTGGAGACGGAACATATGGAAAGTCAACATCGGGATATTTCACATTTGTTCGGGGTAATCTAGTCAAATGGAGAAGTAAAAAGCAGAAGGTCGTTTCTAGATCAAGTGCAGAATCTAAACTTTGAGGAATGGTTCATGTGTCTGTGAATTGTTGTGGATTAAGCGAATTTCGCAAGACTTAGGGATCACTCTCACTAATCCAATGAAGTTAAGCTGTGATAATCAAGCTGCTGTGAAAATAGCAAATAACCCGATTCAACACGATAGAACGAAGCATGTCGAGGTTGATCGTCATTTCATTAAAGGCCATCTAGAAAAAGGTATTGTCGAACTTCCATTGGTGCCTTCAAAAGATCAACCGGTGGACATCCCGACAAAGGTGTATGTGGGAAGATTTGTCATAGCTCTCTTGACAAGTTGGGGAAGATAGATATCCATTCTCCACATTGAGAGGGAATGTTGTCGAGAGCTAAATAAGCGATTAATTTTTTTCAATTCCCCTCTTAATGGTGTTGTATATTCCATAGTTATAGGATATATAGCTTCGTGTTTTTTCACAGTTTCCTTATCTCTAGTATTGTAAATCTATGTATTTAAGTTCTTGATCAATTGGTGAAATAAATATGAAAAATGTTCTTGTACCTTTAAGACCCTTGTTCTACATACTTGTTGGACCAGACATACCCGATTTTATACCCGAACTGATTTTACTTGATTCAAAAAACCGAAAACCGAACACATTCTAGAAAATTAGTTCAAGTCCAAATCTGATCCAAAAATCCATACGGAACCCTAACTTGAACACTCAGTTTCTCCCTATTCTAATAAAAGAATAGTTTTATTTTTCTATTGATATGTATAAATAGTATTAGAATTCTCCATTAATATTATGTCATTTATTGCCACTTGTCAAACTATTGATTATACATTTCAAATTTTAAAATTTTCACTCTAATTACATTAAATTAATAATTGATTTTCCATTTTAAAATTTCTAACTATAATTATATTAAATTAATAACATTAGATTAAATTAATATAAAAATTTAATTAATTTTAACGGCGAAAATAGGTTTGGAAGTTGAAGCTTTCATGAAAGAGGTAGTGTGCGCCTGCGGTCGCATCTAATTTAATATATTTTCGATGATGACGTGTACTACACATATGCCAATCAAAGTTGACGACGTGTCAACTTCCAAACCACAACCACCCTTCAGTTTCCCTCCATTTTCATCTTTTTAACACAACTCCCCGGCGACAGCCATGCGTCTCTCCCTTCCTAGTCCTGACGGCATCTTCTTCGATGGGCACCGCCGCCGCCGCCGCCGCTTCCTCTCTAATCGAATCCACAGCCGTCCAATTAGGCAGAATTAGGGTTCTTAAGGAGGGAATCCACCAACATCTTCAACCGTCATCTTCGTCATCTAATGTCGGTCCTGTTGTATACTGGATGTTTAGAGATCAGCGATTGAGAGATAACTGGGCGTTGATTCATGCCGTTGATCAGGCCAACAGACGCAATGTACCTGTTGCGGTTGCATTTAATCTGTTCGATCAGTTCTTAGGCGCAAAAGCTCGTCAATTAGGGTTTATGCTACGAGGATTACAACAACTTCATAACGAAATCGAACAAACTCTTCAAATACCTTTCTTCTTATTCCAGGTAAGTTACAATTCACGATTTCATTTTTGATATCGCTTCCGTTACTCAATCGAGAGACGATGTAGGGAGAAGCAGTAGAGACGATTCCAAGCTTTCTAGAAGAATGTGGAGCATCGCTTTTGGTTACAGATTTTTCACCTCTGAGACAAGTTCGTCGCTGGAAAGAAGAAATTAGCAAGAGAGTATCTGATTCTGTATCGATTCATGAAGTTGATGCACACAACATAGTACCTCTATGGATAGCATCAAATAAGTTAGAGTACGGCGCTAGAACCATAAGACGAAAGATCAACAACTTGCTTCCTGACTATCTGATCGATTTTCCACCATTAAAGTCTCAGAATACAAACTGGAGTTGTTCTGGAAACAGTTCCATCGATTGGGAGACACTTATTGCAGATGTAGTAAAGAAAGGAGATGAAGTTCCTGAGATTGATTGGTGCAAACCAGGAGAAGCTTCTGCGTTAAAGACATTGATGGGGAACGAAAAAGGTTTCTTAACAAGCAGATTGAAGAACTACTCCAAAGATCGAAACAATCCATTGAAACCCGAAGGACTTTCTGGTCTTTCTCCTTTCCTCCATTTTGGTCAGATTTCAGCTCAGCGTTGTGCTCTTGAGGCACGTAAAGTACGCAAAGTTAATCCACAGGTAATTAGGAGTTTTGTTTTCACATAATCTGAACTCTGAAGTCAGATTTCATCATTTCTTTTGACATTTTGAAGTCAGTTGATGCGTTCTTGGAGGAATTGATTGTGCGAAGGGAGTTATCAGATAATTTCTGCTATTATCAGCCTCAATACGACTCTTTACAGGGTGCATGGGATTGGGCTCGTAACTCACTCATGGAGCATGCTTTAGACAAACGTGAACATTTGTACACGTAAGTAACTACATTGACTTTTTTGGTTGTTTTAATCTTTGATTGATATGGCTCAAATATGATATGCAGGAGGGAGGAGCTAGAGAAAGCACAAACTACAGATCCAGTAAACTACTACTACACTTTCTTGATTGATCTTATGAACATTGTAAAACTGTTTTTTAGCAAGTTTGTATATTTATTTATCCATGGCTTCTTGTTTTTCAGCTTTGGAATGCTTCTCAGTTGGAGATGGTTCATTATGGGAAGATGCATGGTTTTATGAGGTAAAGTATGATTATTTTAAAAATGGAAAAATAGAGAATCAAGAAAAATCTTCTTTATGAAATCTAACAAATAACTTGATAACAGAATGTATTGGGCAAAGAAGATACTTGAATGGACTAGTAGCCCACAAGAAGCTCTAGAAATATCGATTTATTTGAATGACAAGGTACTTTTGATAGTGTTAAATACAATAAGTATATTTAATCAGAGTACAATGCTATAATTGTGTCTTCAACCTTCACAGTATCATATTGATGGGAGAGATCCAAATGGATATGTTGGTTGTATGTGGTCGATTTGTGGGGTACACGACCAGGTTTATATTTTGTTACATTTTCTTTATTATAATTATTTACATAAAATCTAGAATTTCTGTAAATTTATTATAAATGTATTTTTATTTTAGGGTTGGCAAGAGCGACCTGTTTTTGGGAAGATAAGATACATGAACTATGCGGGTTGCAAGAGGAAATTCAACGTTGATGGATACATTGCATATGTGAAGAGATTAGTAGGAAATATCAAGAAACGAAAAGGAGAAAATTTGTTAAATAACAAAGCAAAACAACTCGTGAGTTGATTCTAATGTTTAATATGAGTAGACACTTAAATTACTTTAAGATTCAGTTTGGTTTTTATGCCGATGAATACAAGAGTTTTTTACAGAATGGTGAAAAATTAAAATAATGGAAAAAATAATCAAAAGTGAAGACGACCTGTTTGTTTATTTATACAGTCTTTAAATTTCAAGATCATCTATGGCAATCTCCTCCTCGGTTGGAGGTGGATCTGGAGTCAGCGCTTTCACTTTCTGCAAAATCAAAATCAAAAATAGGTTCTTCAACAATGAAAATGAATTTAAATTTAAAAAGGTAAATTACACTTTCATCATCATTATAAGGGAAAAGACAAACGTATTATCTCTCAATGTTTAAAAAAATACCATTATGTTATATTTTTGTCAATTAAAATGCTTTTATGTTCCCATCTTTGCTTAAATTAATGCTTCACCCTTTTATAGCAAATTTACATTTCATTATAACAATTTGTTTCATTCAAATATCCATTAAAATCAGTACAATGACCCATAAGGGATCAGAACATAAAATAGTTTTGATGGACAAAAATATAAACATAATGACTTTTTAAGCATTGGGAGAATACGTGTTTTTACGATAAATAATTAAATAAAGTACTGCATATTAATCAGAAACTTTTTTGGACCAAAATAAAAAAGATCAGCTAAATTTATAGACAAAAATGTAATTATTTAAAGATAGTCAAAAAGAAAAAGATAGAAGTAAGTTACTGACCTCGATAAATTGTGCGGGATCATCGAGACTAGATGAACCTAGAATTATTTCTCTACTCAATTTTGCTGTTAACTTGTGAATAACCCGCATCTGAAAGAATAAAATAACTTCAAGATTTTAATTATACAAGTTATTATTTCTAACCAAAAAAAAAAAAAAAGAAGAAGAAAACTCATACCTCTGACCTAGTTGCCCCTCCAACGATAAAAACAAAAATCCGTTTACCCCTTCTCTTAATAAACTCGCTAGCTGAGCGTCTCAGAATCGAATCACTGTTTTTCCATTTGTTTTTTGCTTTTTAGTGACCACGATTTGAAAGAATTAAAAATATATATATATATATATTAGACCTTGAATAGCCATCATCAGAATTACGTGGCCTAGCCCATGTTGCTCGCCTTGATCTCATGGAGTGAGCAGCTGGAGCATCCAGTACTCTTGCTGACACAGAATGTGATGCCCCGTGAAAAGTTGGACTCGGGTCATTCATACATGGGTATTCATTCACGGGTAGCTCATTTTTGCTAAGCTTCTCTATCAGTTCCTGAAAAACATTATTATATAGTAACAATCTACTTCTAATATAACTAAAATATCAAATAATTTTTTTTAAAGTAGATTGCTATTTATCTGTACCTCAATAATAGGATAAAAGCGTGATAACTGCCAAGCCGCTTCTTCACCAGGACGATCTTTTCTAAGACCACGCCTCTTCTGAAGACAAAGAGATTGACCGGTCAAACATGAAAGTAGGATGCTATGATTATAATCAACAACTATAATTACACCTTGTTATCAAATTTTAATGGGAAGCCACTGTTTGAGGTGTTCATACTATCTGGTGCTGACTCCAGAAATCTCATATTGTAAATTGCCTTCATATCTTCAGGAAGCAAATCTGCTAACTGAACAACATAACATAATTAAAAAAAAATGATGTTATTGGCTATATTTTACAAACTACAATGCCTTGATAACAAAAATACAATGTTGTAATAGAAAAAAAAAAAAGATCCTCACCTCCAATATCTTTGCAAGTTTATCAGTCTCGAATTTCTCGGGATGAGTTGCTACATATATCATTAATAATCGGATCTTTTGTTCATCTGTTGCATCCTGAATGAAGCAACAGCATACAAGATTACTATTATGGACATGACATGTGGAATGGATACAACAAATTATTAATTCATGCTGTTTGCTCACTTGTTCTTTGAGAAACTTGATGATATCTTTTGTTCCTGCGTCTCCAAAGACAAGGTCTTGCTCTAACTGCCCCACTTCTCTAAGCCCCATCTCCCTGATAATACCATTAATCTTTCCAGCAAGCTGTTTCAGTCAAACTAATATCAGACATGGTTGACCATTATATCAACACAACCCTGGATTTTTTTTTTCTTTTTAAAAAAAAATAAAATAAATAACCTTAGAGACTTACATCAACATGGAGGGATAGTTTGTCCATTTGTTCATTATACTGTGGCAATGCTTGAACCATCTTTTGCAAGTCACGAGTAGACATCTCCCCACCATCTCTAGAAAAACAATTATGAATGTTTGTTGAATTACAAGGGTAAAATAGTCATTTAGTCTCTTTCAGACACTTTATTCATTCTAGAAAAAAGAACAAACAGACTTTATGTATACACCAACAATATTCATGTTAAATTTGATGAATATTACGAATGTTTGTAGAATTTTAAGGGTAAAATGGTCATTTGGTCTCATTCAGACATTTTATTCATTCTAGAAAAATAATAATAATAATAATAAAAGAAACAGACCTGCCATGCATCTGTGCAGCTTTATTTCTGGACACAAAATTTGTCATCTTGTCATGCAAGCGTTCACTAGCCTGACAATGAACCATTGATCAAAAACTATATAATTATATATTTTATTAAAAACAAAATTAAAAAAATCTATATATCTAGAAAAGACATACATCTGCTATATGGGAATGTCGGAGCTCCAGCCATACTGGATCATGATCCTCTAAAAAGACCTCTTTCCTTTCATAACCATCACCTATTTTGCTTGGAACCTAAGCAGTATAATTACGTGACGTATAATATAAAAAATTTCACTAACAAGATTTTATAATAATAAATAAGGTACACTACACTAACCACGTGAACATATTTATTTCCCTCCATTTCAAGTAAATCATGGCACATTGCATCATATGTCCATTCATGAATAACAGGAGCAATCTACAAGTAAAAACAAAAAACAGAGTCAGTTCCTAACTCTATACTAAAAAATCAAATTAAAGATGACAGGTGGCAGAAAAAGGAAAAATGAAAAAACCTGGTCTATGGATCTATCTAGAATGAGCAAATCACATGTTTCAATTTGTGGGAAGTGGTTGAGAGTTTTATATTTCATAAGATTATTCCAAACAGCAGCAGCAAGTTTTGTAGGGATTAGATCACAGAATGTTGTCATTGTTGTGGGGTCAAGTGATTTGGCAGCTCTGTAGCGCACAAATGGGAACTCCTAAACAAATATCAGTAAATTGTAAGAAATAGCAACGTACTCATGTTACAAATATAGACAATATACTTTATCTTTTTACTCATACTTACATTTATTTACCCATAATAACAACATGCTCACATTTTTCAACAATAATACCAATCTGTAACTCACAATAACAATGTACTTACATTTTCTTTACATATAATACAAAATATAAGTACATTAGTTATATGAAAATAAATATAAACACATTGCTATTTTTACCTTTATATTTGATAAATAGATAGGTAAAAAAAATAAACTCATACCAACATTGAAGCAAATACAGTTGCAATACGATTGGCCATGGCAGTTAAACATTCATCTCCTTTTCGGGAAAATTCTTCATCTCCATAAAGTTCTTCCAATGCGCTCCCATGATCAGTGATAAAACACTGTTATGGTATAATTTTAACTTAAATAAATCTTGTTATTAAAAAGGTAAATCAATTTATGTAAATGAGATTATATACCTGGTTATCAATGGCAAAGTACTCCAAGTTCATCTGCAGATTCCCTCAAATGTTAATATAATGAAAGAATTTATTTATATTACACAGAAAAAAGGGATAATGAAAATGTTTTAGCCAAACCTCTTTCATGCCACGTAAGCGACACTTAATAGTTGGCTCCTTTTTTATGTCAGCAACCAATTCTTTTGAAACAGATGAACTGAAGAAGACATAAGCTCTAAAAGAAGAAAGAAATCAAGTTGTAAAAAATCAACGATATTAATAGTCTTGGATACAAGATTTATAACATGAAAAAAAAAAAAGATAGATGATCTTTCACATACTCTTTATATAGAGGCGCTTTTCCAGCCATGTCAGCCAATAGGAAGTCAACACTGTATGTATTTTAACAGAAGCATAAAAGAACACAATTAAGATACTATCAGATGTTGATTTTATAAAAAAGATGAAATGGTTTACTTTTCTTTTGTTGGTTGGATGTAGTATACTGCATCCATGGAGGGCAGTGGTTGTCTTCTCTTGTGAATTTGTTCCACCACTGTAAGAAAAAAATTAACATATTATTCACCTCAATAAAATACAAATATATCAAGTGACTTCACAAGATATATTCCAATGTCATTCTTAACTCAAAATTACCAATATTGAGTAAAACATGTTGACCATTATATAAGATTAAGAAAAAAGAAATTCACATTTTGTTATACTGGCCTTTATGTCTTACATGAAACTCCTTCATCTGTGATATCTGCCATTTTGCATGAACATGACATGATTTTAACAGTAACTCTGTCCATGATGAGTACCTAAAAACATTGAGTGTAAGCTACTAACAAATAAAAAAAGAATTAATAGCAGCGTTTACTATAAGTTTCCTATACCTTCCAGTTTGATGATTTTGAGTCTGGTCTTTTTGCAGATCTGATCATTTCATACAATAATCCTGCACAATGAATGAAAGTAATGATTGAATTAACATAATATCAGAAGCATATGTGCAAATAACCAGGACAAAAGCAACTGATTTAAATTGATTCGCACATCAATTATGTAAACAGCTCCCTTAATTTTTTACGTTAGAAGCAAAGAGGCGATATTGTTTCTGAGAATTGTAATTAAACTGAAAACCACAGCTCTATAAACGTAATTTTTTCAAATTCAAACAAAGATCAAACACTAGAGCATTCAAGGTCACTTAAATAACCTGATGACGACCACAATTAAACTAAAAGGCAAACATGCATACATACATATTACATACATGGATACAGATTGATATACAACAGAAAAACAGAGAGTGAAATTGCAGAGAAAAACTCACGATCACGACTAATTTGTCTGAAATGTTTGTCCCCGTTGCCTTGGGACGACGTATCCGAATCAAACATCGACATAATTGATGGGAAATGCAAACTACTTGGATTGATCGAAGAGAAAACTCGAAATTCAAAAGAAAAAAGAGATCGTATTAAACAGTTGTTTGATGTTTTTGAAGAATAAGGAAGATGGAGATGAATTAAAGGGGTGGAAAATGGAAATGGCTGACCGGTGGGTAACCCGAACGTTACCCGCAATTTCATAAACGTTTTTCGTTTTGAATAACGGTCATGCCGGGTCAGACCGGTTCTTTCGAAGGTTCTTTGATAAGACAAATAACATGTTTATGAATTATCGGAATTTTACGATTTTTTATTTCAATATTTTTCTGATCTTTTAAAGAAAGTATTTGTTTTAATTTCCATTAGGATAAATATTATTAGTCGATCGGAGGAAAAAAAAAATACAAAAAGATAGAAGGGAAAACTACGTTCATGGTTTCGACTGTCGTAGGTGATATATGTTTGATATTTTGATTGAAACTGAATAATAGTATTTATTTAATATAACAAATATATGACTGATGTTGTTTTTATACAGAGCTAAAACATTGAATTTCAAAATATAACATTTTAAGCAAACGATAATATGTAGTTGACATTTTTAATATAAAAATATATTTTTACTGTTATTTCTGGAACAATAGAATATAAAAAGAATTCTGTTTCAAGTTAATTTAATGTTATTTCTGGAACAACAGAGAATAAAAGAATTTTGTTCCAAGTTAGTGTAATTGATATTCGTTATTTATCTGACTAAGTTGATGAATATTTTATGATGAACAGAATTAGCTTGATGGTTAACTAGCAATCAACTCTTAAATCACTAGATAATATATATATATATATATATATATATATATATATATATATATATATATATATATATATATATATATATATATATATATATATATATATATATATATATATATATATATATTTGTCGTTGTACCTATTATTTTGTTTTAAAATATCCTTTTAATTTTTGAAGCTCTTTGCCATCGTTGTACATTGATTGTATTGTTTTCGTAGGAGTAAATGTCATCAAAGGGGAAAAGTCATTTACACGTGAAGATGAATGACAAGTCGAGAATAGAAAACCATGTGATTCACTAATCAGGTTCAGTGTTGGTGATTTTTTATCACTAATGTTATTTAAGTATAATGAGATTAATTTGTTGATCAATGTCACTTTTGACAATTATTGAACAAATCAGTATGGTGTGGAGTGCACGTTTGTTTAATTTTGTCTCTGTTGAAAGTATACTTACTGCTATTTAGGGGCGAAACCCCTAAACGAACAGGGGTCCGGGGGCAGCGCCCCTGGGAGCGGGGTCCAAGGGGCAGAGCCCCTGGCTGGAATGCGCGAATTTTATATATATATATATATATATATATATATATATATATATATATATATATATATATATATATATATATATATATATATATATATTATGTTACTATATTAAAATAGCATCAGAAATCCGGATTTTTGATAAATGAACTCGGTTTTGTGATCCATATTCTAGACCCGGATTTAAGGTTGTTTATGACCGTTTGTGGACAATTTTAAGACATAAAACTGTCATGTGACAGTTTTAAGACAGTAAGTTTTTTCTGTTATATGATCATATCCGAATGTGTGGTTGATACACTTCTTCTTCTTCATAACATCAAAACATTATCTCTTATGTTTTCTCTAAATTCTGAGTCTTATCCGATTAAAGATTGGGAGTATCACCCAAATAGTTTAATCTGAAAGTGAAAACCACAATTCTCAGAATTTCCAAGCTTTTGTATACCCCAATTCTTACATTCAGCCCGGCCGATTCAAGAGAAACCCAGGTCCATCTGGACCGACTCAACTAAAATAATATACCGTTCAACTTGTTTAAAATTAATGGTGAAAAAACTTAGCCTAAAGTAGTAATTCCTTAAAAAAAAACCAACTTAAACTTGCAGTGGTGATGTCTATCTGAATCAGACATCAACAAGCTTCATGTTGTGGAAGAGTGAAAAACAAAATGTGCATTTGTAATGGAAAACCTCTAACCGCTTTCTTTTTGGAGTTGATGTGAGATTCCTTCATGCTACCAAATATTATGTCTTTTATTTTCTATAGTTTATACTTTTTTTCCGTTCTTTTTTTTGTCCAACACTATAAAATAGGTCTTAATGTCGGAGGCACCACAGAAACCAGGTATGTTGCCCCTCCAACATTTTTTAGTTTGCTTATGTACTATTACTTGTAAACCTATTAATTAATTTAAGTCCAAAGTAAAAAAATAATTCCAAGCCCAACACACCCTAGCCTAGTTTCCTTAATTTCGTTGTTATAACAATTATAATTTGCATTTCAATAGCAAACACATCAATTATAATTTGACGGGCAATTAAGAATGGAATATCACAAATCTTCGGCAATTGGCAAAGAGACTCCTATAAATTATATTCCTGTCACTCTTTTACAAACTTCAATTTGAAGAAACGGTCATTTCTAATTCTTATTGGTTAATACGTATTTATGTTTTTTTTTTTAATTATATAATATATTACTAATTTGAAGAAATGATCATTTCTGATTCTTATTGGTTAATACGTATTTATGTTTTTTTTTTTTAATTATATAATATATTAATAGTATGTTCGTTTAGGAACAATGATTTTTTTTCCGTTTAGACTTTGGCCACATATGTTTGTTTTTTGTTTTTTTTGTTTACAATTTTAGTCTTTATGCCCATTTATTTTTACACCTCAACTTTGCCTTTACTTATTAACAATTTTGATACTTTTGGTCATTTCAATTAAAATTTTTATATTTTTTAGGAATCCTTTAGACTTTGGCCACATATGTTTGCTTTTTTTTTTTTATATAATTTTAGTCCTTATGCCCATTTATTTTACACCTCAACTTTGCCTCTTGCTTTTTAGCCATTTTGATACTTTTTGTCATTTCAATTAAAATTTTTATATTTTTTAAGAACCTTTTAATATTGAAAGTTTGGCTACAAAGCTTTAAGAAATTGACAACTTTGATCTATTTTCTAAAAACTTGCTAATTCCAACCTCTTATAGTAAACTTGTCTCTTTTTTTTTTTGTCAACTTTGCCCCTTCTTTTTTACCCATTTTGACACTTTTAGTCATTGGAATCAATTTTTTTTTTCATTTTTATGAGTCTTTTAATATTCAAAGTTTGGCCACAAAACTTTAAGAAATTGACGACTTTGGTCCATTTTCTAAAAACTTGCTAATTCTAACCCCTTTAATTCTTTAGCCATTTTGACACTTTTGATTTTCACACTTTTGGTCACTGGAATAAAAAATTTCACATTTTTTAGGAATCTTTTAATATTGAAATTTTAGCTACAAAAATAGTAAATTTATATGTTTTTTGTCAACATTGCCCTTACTTTTTAGCCATTTTGACACTTTTGGTCATTTCAATAAAAAAATTTACATTTTTTAAGAACCTTTTAATATTCAAAGTTTGGCCACAAAACTTTAAGAAATTGATAACTTTAGTCATTTTTCTAAAAACTTGCTAATTCCAACCGACTTAATTATTTAGCTATTTTGATGCTTTTGACCCTTACAATCAAAACTTTTGCATTTTTTTCATAAAAAACACAAAAAATGTCCGGGGCGAAGCCCAGGTTTTTCCACTAGTTTATTATTAATATATTTTTTAACAATATAATTTGTAATTAGTGACTATATTATGATTGGTTAATTGGTTTCTTGATTCTTATAATAATAGGGTAAACCATCAGTAAGAAAATAATAATCGATTTTTTTTTTTTGAAAATGAAAAAAATATATTAATGTATGAGAATCGGTTCTTATGGTCGTTTGATAAGTTTTGAAGTTTTGCTCTTGAAAAAACGATGTAGTTCGTATTTAGGAAATTATTAGTATCTCTTTCAATTTTACTAAGTCTATTATGTTATTTCAATATTTTTTAAATATATATAAGCCTCATTTATTCTAAAATCCTGGCTCCGCCCCTTTTAATGTCTATCTTTTTTCCTTTATTTTTTTTGCCAAATACTAAAAGGCAAGCCTTTCATAACTTATAGGGTAGGTCATAATATTGTTGATATATATTTTGTATATGTTTTAGAAATTTAGGTGGGTCAAAGGACCCACCTTGCCATAATGTAAACTCGCCACTAGTGAAGATATGGTTTTTGAATCGGCTATAGATAAGCCATTGAAGTAGGTCAAACATTCCAGCCATTCTCGAATGTTATTCGATGTTGTATAAATATATCATTGAGAAGTTAACCACAATGTATGATGAGATTTCATATGAGTAACATTCATAACACAACTTAGGTTGGATGGTGTAACCTTGGTACCAACTCGGCAAACACCATACATCGTATATTAAACACGTTGAATAAATGTTCTGCTTACGTTTGCTTTCCGATACTCACCATACATCGGTATATTACTAACATGTTGAATAAACAAAATATATAACGCTTCTTTTAAGGCCATGCATCAAAAGAAACTGACAACTATATTAAACACGCCACGATTTATCCAAATACGTAGGCCATCATATACCTATCTAACATTCTATATAAAACACTATTTTCTTTAAGTCACCAACAAAGAAAAGATGAAAAACATCATGACACAACTTATCTACCAGGCGAACACCATGAAGAACAACATCACTATAGTAAAAAGAACTTACGCCACCATCTCGACCATGAGACAAGATCTTCTCAAAGAATCACTAGCATTTCTGCCATATAGCCACTACATCATCATAAGGGAATTCATCAAATACATCGATAAATAAACAGCTATGATGATGGACTCCTTCGAATTGATGCATGAAAGATTCAACATCGTCATAGAAGCGTATTCCAAGATCCTGAAAGATCTTCTCCACATATAAAATCTAAGAAACATACATAGGATAGTAAGTGTCTGTTTTTTACTAATATCGACTATGTAATCTTTCGTATGTTTCTATTAACGTTGCTAAACATATGTAGGACAGTAAGTGTCCGTTTTTTTGCCAATATCGACTATCTAATGCCCGTCGTTCAAATGTTCAAACAATCAACAAATAGTCAACAAAATAATAAAAATCACATATCGCGGGGTCACTCACCTAGTTCACATTATACATATACATAATACAAAGCTTTGGACGAGGAAATTAAATTAAAACATATACTTACAAATCCGCAATACATATGCTTCTAAATCTCATACCTAAGTCAAATCATATATGAAAACTCTCAATGATTGCTACAATCTAAGTTCATGTATAGTTAGCGCATAACACATATCGGGTATCAAATCTGCACATATACGTGAGGTATTATAGAATGATATCACGATTCACAATCTTCTAGTCGAGTATTCTACAAAACTTTTGGGATCCTAAGTCTATACAAGTCAACCCATCGTAATGGATGCACATTTACAAGTCAAAATCTCTTTTCAAAATAATAATAATTTCACAATTTCAAAAAATCTCATTTGAAAACACATTTGATTAATGTATACATATAGGCTGTGTTTGGCGCGCCACAGCTAGCTGATAAACTAGCTTATTTTTCGAGCTTTTTTATGTTGTTGTGTTTGGTAAGCCAAAAACTAGCTGATAAGCTAGCTTTTTGAAAAGCTACTTAGACTAGCTTTTTAGGAGTTTTTTTAAAAATTTCCAAATACACCCCTTAATTAATCATAGAAACACATACTTTTACATGTCATTTTATGTAATTTTATATATTTCAACTAATTTTACCAAACGTCATTTTTTACCAGCTAGATTTTCAGTTATCAGCTAGCTTTTCAGCTAGTATGCCAAACATAACTTTAGTATTCACATAGCATATATATATATATATATAAAATAGATCATACTAAAAAGGTGATTGGAATCATTAAATTAAAGTAACTTAGCAACATATATTTAGTAAGTTAGGAACATATATTCTTGGATGAATGTAGGTACACCACTTAACTCATAACGACACATATTTAACATGAATTCAATTAATAATCAAGTAGTTTTTGACCTAGTGATAAAGTGATAAAGAGTGACTCTTTCATTTGAAAGTTTATTAGTTCAAGTCTCCCTTAAGACATTGATAACGATAGTTAGGAGTAGATTTGTTTGTCATTTCAACAAAAAAAAATCGATTAATTAATGTCTAATTATATTTAACATACCTACACAAAAGTCACATACCTAAAGTACTCACTTTTCACACACACAAAGATATATATATATATATATATATATATATATATATATATATATATATATATATATATATATATATATATATATATTAAGACATAAACAA